ATTATCTAACTTATGTTCGTGGTTTTATTTGGATCATGGTTATACTCTTAATTTGATTTTACTTAGTCAACCTATAGTCTAAATTAAAGAGCTGTTCTAGCTTTATTTATGTTGATCAGTCTGCTCTCTGGCCTGATTTGATTGCTTGTAATTTATCAAATGTGAACTTGTAAAATTATCTTTAGCTACTATGAGATTATATTTAAAGGTCAACTAGTTAGAATTAGCAAACATTTTCTATAAACATAGTTCAACCTTGGAAGAAAGACACACACACACTTTATATGACATGACATTTGAGTGCTTGATAGGAATTATAAAAAGGTATAAAATATTAAATCCAACACTTGCTGAACTGTTTCATGTTGATGTGTTCATTTGTGCTCATCTGCTCACACAAACTCATGCTCATGTTCGTGCTGCTGTTCGGTGTATTGTTTTTATGCTATTAGTGCTTAGTGTATTTTCATCAATGTTTTTCTTAGTTCATATCTTAGATCTTATTACTGTTGTTCTTTTACTTTTTAATACTTTTGTTGGATGTAACTGGGACCCTGTATACACAATTTTGTTCCACCACATGAATGTCAAAATAAAGAACCTTGAATCCTTGAAGATCAACATCATCAGGTCAGGACTCTGAGGTCTACACTCATCTCCAGGCCAGCGGTCACTCGTTCAGGGATGAAGATGTGCACATCCTGGACAGAGAGGAACGATGGTTTGAGAGAGGAGTAAAGGAGGCCATCTTTGTGAAAAGAAATCATCCATCATTAAACAGGGGTGGAGGCCTCCGGGTTCAACTGTCCTCCTCTTATAATGCTGTGATTGCTAGTATCACTCAACCCCCTGTGAACAGTAAACAGCCATCAGGGTGGTAATGATCCATTGTTATGCTGATGGTCCTTCTTGAGCATGTGATCAGCTGGTTTTGGTTGTCAGCAGCAAACTGGTTGATCCACTCTGAGAAGGTGCTATTTATAAGACTGAGCTGAATACAGCACCTCAGACTGAAAAAGTCTTTTGGATAAAAGATAAAACATTTCTACAAGTTTTTTTTTTTTTCTTTTTTTATCCGTCCAGAGCACTGGAGTAAACTATTTCAAACTGCACCTTTTGAGACTGTTCACATTAACTTTCTTGTGTTTGAATTTACTCTTTGTCATGAGTGTCTTTAGGCTTTCCCAACAATTTGCATTTAATATACATTGTCTTGTCTTATTTCATTTTTTAATGTTGTTGTTCTTTTTATCTGTTCCTTCTTTTTGCTGCTTTTTGCTCCCTAAAGGAGTCCGATTCAGACCCAGAGGAAGAGGTAAAGGTAGCAATGCTTCCCACTCGGTTTCATTCCCATTATCTGTTTATTCATCATTTTTTATGCTGTTTCATCAGCAAAACTAAATGACTGAGCATTGTATTTTAGGCTTGTCTACACTATTCTGGATTTATTAGTTCTTTCTTCAGTATTGAAAAAATAGTCAGGTCAAATAGTCATAACCATGCTGTGCCACTGGGTGACCAGGATGTCCAGATTATTGTCATATGGAAACTAGATAAAAAAAAATAGCTTGGCTAAAGATTTTCCCCAATCAAAATTAACTTTTTATTTTGTTTACAGTTTCCTCTCTATCCTTTTAAGCACAAACTCTGACAGCAACAGGATCAGGATAAAGAGGCAAACAGTAAAAATAATTGTAAATTGAAAATTGTAAAAAGCAGCCAAAAAAAAGTGCAATAAAAATAAAAACATATTCAGAGGAGTGGAGATGGGGCCTTAGTTTACATCAAGAAGATTGTTTTATGCAATGCCTTGAGCTTAGAACTAGTCAAAACGTTTTATTTTTATTTTTTGTTGTGTGACTTTGTTGAAGTCATCGTTTTAATATTTGTGGTCTGGGAAAAGTTTCCACAAGCAACAATTAAAACCCAATTCAAAAAACGCTCAATACAAAAACCCATTAAAATCCAACTAACTGTCTAATTTATGGTTTTCTCTTTCAGACCGGCAGGACGTTTGAGAAATGTAAGCCATTTCATATTTTCCTGGAATAACACTGTACTAAAACTGATTTACTAGTTGCTAAAGCTGTTGTTGAATTTGTTAATCCAGCTAACACATAAAGTGGTTACTCATCTGTAGCTGAGTCAGAGGAAGACCTGAACTAATGCACAGACTGTTGATGTGCTTCACATTACACCTGTCACCAAAAAGCCTTTATCACCCACCCCCATGTTGATGTTCTGTTTCCCCCAAGGCTTAACTTCTTTCTTTTACTTGTCTGATTTCACACCTTCATCACTGTCTTCACTTTAACTCTTTCATCGTCATAATTTGAGGTTGGGCGTTTGAGGAAAGGGTGAAACTCTATCATCTACGTATGTACAACACATAAAAGTTCATCTAATGCTGTACTGGCCTTAGAGGTAGTTGTAGCACCGTTGGTCTTTGATGAATTGAAAGGGGAGGTTCCCTTTCTCATCTGACTATACGTGTTTATGTCATAGAATAATAGTTTATGTTACCAGGAGACATAAAAACTACAGTAATCCAAATGTACAGTGTATTGCAAAATTATTCACTCCTTTTTTTTATGCCTTACAACCAAGACTTCAAATTATTTTTTAAATTAAATATAAATAATGGACCAACTCAAAATATTCCAAATTAATGATGTTAAATGTGCTGCATCACTTAAATCAGAGATTATGTCTGATTTAGTCACAATAAATTAAGCACATTTTCAGATTTCTGTCTTTTTAAGATACATTTTGAAATTGTCCTGATACCATGATCAGGCCCAGAGATATGGCTTTGCTAATTTGGATAACCCTCAAATGTGTCTGAATCCTTTTTTTAACATATTCTAATAAGGACTTCTTGCCGTCATTTGAAAAAGGAAACTTTCCAGCTTGTATAGTGCACAGGGAAAGTCATAAAAATTTAGGGCTTTTCTGCTCAAAATAATTTCTAGTTGTTGTTACTCCTGAGAAAAGTGTTTCAAAACATTCTTTAGCATTATATTTCAGACATTTCATTAAAGGTTCTCATAGATAATGTTCATCATATTTTTACACAATTCACATATTACAAAATTTTCAGCCAATGTCTTAAATCTGCCTATACATCCACCATGCAACTTAATTCTAAGTTTGATGTGACTGGTCACAAATAAGGATGCCTTGTTACAAATCATTACAAAAATATAAAACTGAGAAGTGATGGCGCATATGTTTCTACCACAGCAGTCTCTTTGTGTCACCACTTTTCCCTTGAGCAGGGTACATCTAACCACTGGAATTCAGAGGTTAAATCATAAAGTTTAATCAAATAGAAACGTTTTAAATTTCATGTTGTAAAATTAAATGGAAAGATTATCAATGAGGGTGCGGGGAATACTTGTGCATCCCGCTAGTTCAATGTTGTTTAAAATCAGCTGCAAGGAACAAGCAGTTCAAGTTGCCCTTCCTATAGGTTTAAACAACCGATGACGTCTGTTCATTTCATTCACTCTTTTCCATGACCTCTCCACCAGTACTTCCCTTTCCTTTGCATGGAAATAACTTGCCTTCTATCATGTGTATGTGTGTGTTTGTATGGGAATTTGATTACATTTCAGTAAGTTTATTGTTTTTTTTATTTGTTTTGTTTGAAATATATCATACCAGCTTTGTTTTGTAATTTTTTATATAATTTTGTCCTTCTTAGGTTTTTATTCCATTTATTTTAGAAATAGTCTGAATACCAAGTTGGACATTAAACAGAATAAAAGAGAAAGGGAATTCCCTGAGACCCTCATTCATTATATTCAAGTATTCTTTTGTGTTGTTTTATTTAAGGCATGCCACATCTTTATGTTTTATAGCTTATCACTGGCTTTCTTTAATAGATACTTCTAGTACTCTCAGTTTCATATTTGTAGTCATCATATTGACATGTGTTACACATCCGAACAATCTTGAGATCTTTTAAAGTTGTTTCTGTTTCTTTCACCATTCTCTTTTTTGTTGGACATTTTGAGTTTTATAACTACATCATTTTTGGTTTGTTTTATTTCTGCTCGAGAGCACTCTCTTGTGTGTGAGTGAGAAAGTCTAAGCAAGTTATTTCCAGCTCATTTATTTTCCCATAGGTGTCATTGAACCTTTACCATTATCCTCAGTCAGAAGAAAGTATAAGCCCAATTCCTCTGATACCTTTTTGTAGAAACCATTGTGAATTTGCTGTCCTATGATCCCTGCCATGTTTTCCAACCTTATCCTGATCTCCTTCTTCAATGTCTGTCTCCTTTCATTTGACTTTTTTGTTTTGTTTACTCCTTACTTGATCTTCTTCCATATGGAAGATGAAGAGACGGAGACACCAGTCCTGAAATCTGACCTGATTCGAGAGCCAGATCTTCTTTTCGACGTGACAGAGATGAAACAGGATTTGATTAAAATGACTGCAATCTTGACTGCAGACTCAACTGAAAAATCCCCTTCCATTGGAGGATGTGGTTTAGAAAAAGGATCAGAGGAAGTTTCTGGAGAACCTTTAGAAATAATGGAGAAAGACCTTGAGAAAGTCAAAGAGGACCTAGAGAAAGTCAGTGAGATACTGAGGAGTGGGACGTATCAAGGGGAAGTATCAGAGGAGAGAGCAAAAGCAGCTAGAATGGCTGAGGAGTGGGTTCTTCTCTCAGACAGAGAGATAGTAGAGGCCAAAAAAATGGCCGCTTTAGAAATTAAGGAGCCTGTCTTACGTGAAAGTAGACCTAACAGAGGAGCTCCCAGACCAAAGGCCATCAAGGGAAGTGGTGACCTCAAAGAATACCTTTGTGATACACCAGTAGGTTCTAAAGTAAAAGCTAAAAAAGAGACAGGGATCCAAGAGAAATTTACTGAAGTTTTTCTACGCAAAAGTGCAAAACCAACCACACCAACCAAAGTTCAGGACAGTACCACAACTGGTGAAGTTAAAAAGCCAGTGAGAAAGAAAGGAAAAAAGCAGGAGCAGGCAGAAAGATCAGTAGAGGCTGGGGCTCATCTAGGTGTACCTACAACTCCTACTCCAGCATCCCCTAAGTCTCCAGTAATTGAAGAAACCCCTATTGGGTCAATAAAGGACAAAGTCAAGGCTTTACAGCAAAAAGTAGAGGCTGAACAAAAGAGCAAAAAGCTCACAGGAAGCAAGCCTTCACAGTTATCCGTCATGAGTAAACCATCATCAAAAGCCAAAGAAAGCCCTTCTAGATCAAAACATGTCCCTCATAAATCCCCTAAATCTGAATCTGAAAAACTTGAAGAAACTATGTCTGTTAAAGAGCTGATGCAAGCATTCCAAACAGGGCAGGACCCTTCAAAAAGAAAGTCTGGGTTATTTGAGCTCAAAACAAGTTCATCAAGATCAGAGAAAAACTCCCATTCTGAAACAGTTCAGTCAATATCCATGAATGTAGCAATGACCTCACAGATCTCACAAGTACAAGAAGTATCATTGGATTCCAAACTTTGCAAAAAAGAAAGCACTTCACAAGACAAAGAAAAAGAAATTAAGTCAGCTGCTCACTCGGAGTTAACCAAAACTATAGACTTTGGAAACAATGGCCTTGATGATAGCTCTGATGGCAGTAAACATGAGGGTGTGGCAGACTCACTAAGTGCCAGTTCTGGAAATAGAACACCTCACCTGAGCTCAGAGGACAGTTACAAACATGAAGGGCTAGCCACTCCAGGCTCAAGCCCTGAAAGCCTGTCTGGTCAGCAAACAGATACAGCTTTGGCATCAGCTCCCACAAAGCATAAAGACATTAAAGGGACAGAGAAATCTGGAGACTCGGGTGTAGGGACCTCGGGTGACCAGCTGTCTGAAGACCTGCCCCTTCCTGTCTCTTCCAGTGAGCCTGCAGAAGACCGTGCAACAAGTGAGTCCATGTCTGTTAGGAGGAGTGAGTCTAAGCCATCCAAACCTCGAAAGCTTACAAAGAGAGTTTCAGAGACTATAGAAACATTTCTCAGTGATGACGATAGCCCTGATCATCAGCTAGTATTGTCCTTAGTTGGGTCTCCAGCATCTAGAGCTCCATCTCAACATCATGAAAACTTTGACCCCTCATTACAACAGGAAGCAGAAGCTCTCAGCCCATTAGCTGATGATTCTCTGACAATAAGCCACAGAGACTCTCTTGAAGATAGTCCTATTTTGGAAGATAATTCTCTCCACAAGTCCCCTGACTCTATTGAGCCCAGTCCTACCAGGGAATCCCCCCTTCATGATTCTCTGGAGAGCAGTCCTGTAGAACAAAAAAGCCACCCATTCTTCCATCCTGCAGTACTAGATCCTAGTAGATCCTGTAGCCACCCAGAACCCTCTAATGCCACAGACTTCACCCAAGATGCTTTGCGTGGTAGGCTGCTTCGAGATCATGAGACTAGTGCTGATGATGACAGTTGTGAGCAGACATCACAGATGACAAGTTCTGGTAAGAGTCCCCTCTCCCCTGATACACTTAGCTCTGAAGAGGTAAGTTATGAGGTAAACCCTAAACACCCTAACCATACATTTTTATGTGTACTGTCTGAAACGGCTGTTATCTCTGAAGATCCAGAAGAAGAGGATACCACAGACAGATTTGAAACTAAGAGAAAAATCACTCCAGAAGAGGAAATGTTTAAGATTGCTTCTAAAATAAAAACATTTGATGAAATGGAACAAGAAGGGAAGACAAATAAAAAGTCTAAAAAACATTTGTTTCCCTCAGCAGATGAAAAAATAGGGGATAACAGTTGTAACCCACTCAAGCCCAACAATAAGGAGCTTTGGCAAAGTGAATGTCAGCTTTATAGACCCACAGAAGGTTCAAAGTTAGTTCTTAATATTGATCCCAATAATAAAGTGCAACCTCCCTCTCCTTTTTCAGCAGGTTTGCATGATGGAACCCACAGCAAAGAGGGCAAGAACACAACAACAGCCACTGTCACGTCAGAGGGACCTCATTTTGTCTCAGACCAGCATCAATCAAAACCAAAACTGAATTCTGCACAGGAGGAAATATTCCCATCATCTATTGAAGCTGATAAAGATACTTGTAACCAAGCATCAACATCAAACAATGAAAACAGAACTGATGACCAAAAACGGGAGAGCTTTATCAAGTCAAGTGACAATAAAAGAGACATTAAGGACAGTCAACAGTTAGATGTTAGTCGGGCACAGACATGTATGCAAAAACCTACAAATGAGGTGAAGGGAAAAAAGTGGGGACAGGCAGAGGGCCCAGTGGCTGGGTTTTGTGCAGATCCAACAAAACTGAAGGTCAGTGTTTACAATGACACAGATGAAGGTGGTGAGGTCTTGGATCTTCCCAGAACTGAATCAAAAGGAGTTACTGCGAGGGTACTGTCAGAGCCATGGTCTTCCATGCGAGAGGATGATGAAACATTTGCATCACATGTGAAAGAAGAAGAACAAAAAATATTGAATCTAGCTGTGGACCGTCAGTCTCTGCAAGCAACTCCTGACACCACCCCTGGCAGAACACCAACAGAAGAGAGCACTCCTACTAGTGAGCCAAATCCTTTTCTGTTCCAGGAAGGGAAGCTGTTTGAGATGACACGTAGTGGCGCTATTGATATGACTAAAAGAAGCTATGAGGAGGAGGGAGGTGGCTTTGCTTTTTTCCAAATAGGTGAACAGCCTTTAGAAGAACCTGTCTTAGAAGAGGTCAGACATGAAGAGAGATCAGTGGCAGAATCAGCAGTAGGCCTTAATCTTTCACTTGAGCTTAAGACTCAAAAAGATGAAATGTTAAAAGATAAAACTGATTCACAACTTCAATCCAAACCTGAAGGAGATCAATCAGGTTGTAAAACTGATGCTACCAAGTCAAAAATACCTAAAATGGGCACAATACCTTCAGGCAAAATTACTAAGAAAGATCAGATGCACCCTGAAGCTTTTGAGACTAAATCAGACAACAATGTAAATGAAGGATCTTTGGATTTAGACACAAGTTCCTCTGAACAAACATTGACAAATGTACAAACTGCAGAAACTACTGTCACTAGATCAGTTTACCCTGAGCAGGTGCCTGAGTCCTCGGATTCATCCCCAGAAGAGGGCAAGTCAGTGGTAGAAGTCCCTAAAATAACAAGCAAGTCCAAACAGAGTGCTTCCCATGGTGTTAAGAAGATGCAAAACACCGTCAAAACTCAAGCTAAGTCTTCTACTCAGAGTCGTGGAAAATCCATGATTCCTTCTCCGTCACATGCAATGCCCTCTTCAGCTGCTCTTAAAAAGGAGGCCTCCTTCTCTTCAGAAACTAAATCTAAGATTCCTGTCAAGGCTGTCAGGGCTGATTTGAATGTCAGACGAGTGGAAAATGCTCAAGATAAAAAGAATAAGGTTCCTATAAGAAAAGATACGAGGAGAAAATCTGAGACAGATGCAGGTCCTTCTGTGGATGTCAAAACCAAGGTGCCGTCTTCCAAAGCCAAGAGTTTCTGTGAGGGGGAATCCAAGTCATCAACTAGGAAAGAACAGGGTCGCCTCCCAATTGCTGAATCGGCAAAATCCAAAGGTTTTCAGTCCAGATTACCGGTTCGGGGCAAAAGTGGTCAGACTCCTCAGTCGTCGACACCCATTAAAAACAAAAGTAAACCTCATAAACACTACAATGAATTCTTTGAAGAGATCAGTGACGAAGCTGCAAAACTCGTTGAAAAGTTGGCACAGGCAGAGGCAGAAAAAGAGGAAGAGGCTGTAGCTGCTCTTTCAGATGATGAGAGCAGTCTCATTGATCCATCAGTCATAGAAAGGGAAACGTTCCCAGTGCTGCAGTTACCCACCTCCAGAGACATCTTTCCTATTAGACCACTGTGGGACGACCCTGTTGAGACACAGATGCAGCGAATTCCAGACGATAAAGTCCAAAGTCAAGGTACCAGCCCATTTTAAGGGGCTATTCTCTATCTCCTGTAGCTCAGTAATTCATTAGTTGTAAAGGTGCTGCCTCTTTGTCTCTTGTACTTGTGTCCCCTTGGCTGAAGAAGCCATGTTGTCATGTTACTGGATCTGTATTTGTGTTTGTTTCGGTGTCTCTCTGTTACTCTCTGTGATGTAAAAATCTCAAGGTTGACCTAAAGGCTTTATCGAACAAGTTCAAGCATGGTTTGAACTAAATTTGTTTCAATAGAAATAAATAATCTGCTTAATTTTGACTAATATAGGGTCTCATCTGGTGTCAGAACCAAAGTTTACAGACATGTTGAATCATGGCATAATGCACAGTTTCTCAATTTTATTATATAATATTTAACATGTTGTATTTAACATGATGTATAATTTGAGAACTAAATTTTCTCTTTGACCAAAACAAGAAAGCCAGTGAAAAGTTGGGTATTTTTAAAGATAATATTTGTGAATGTGGATGGAGTGGATATTGCTTGCAGCTGTGACCACTCATGGCTGTCTGGTGGTGTTTGCAGTAGATCCACAGGATGAAGTAGAAAGAAAAGAACAACGGTTGGCTGTTATAGCTGACCACTTGGGCTTCAGCTGGACAGGTGGGCCACACTTGATAACACTGATCAATCTTAACAAGTTTGAAATATTTTACTTTTAAATGGCAATCAAGAAACTGTTGGATTTTATTCCTAAAGGCTTTTTTTCTTGGTTCAGAGTTAGCACAAGCATTGGACTTCAGCGAGGAGAAGATCAACATGATAAGGACAGAAAACCCTGACTCACTGCAGGACCAAAGCTATGCCCTTCTGAAACTTTGGACAGAGAGTGAGGGACAGCATGCCACAGGTAAAACAACTTTAGTTTGTTTTGTTTTTTTCTCCAGAATCAGTGTCTTCTAGATGCAAACATAAATGAACAGTTACAGTTTTAATGTGAATTTCCATGTAAAAATTTTAATATTTTATCTCGTACCTAACGGCTGGTCCAAACACAGCTAAGACTAAAATAGATTGTTAAAACAATTCCAATTTTCAAAATTTTACAACATGAAATTTGAAAACTATTTTTAAGGACTTGCTGTGAGTTTCACATAGTATTATATAGTTTTTTAAAGCATAGACAGGAGGAGCAAGATGTAACGCGTCCGGGGCATTTAGGGAGTCATGGCTGGCAGAAATTTCTGATTATTTCCACCTAAGTAACTGTGTAATGTGGAATAGATGGGGGATGTAAAGATTTTATTATCAGTGTTCACAGCCTATGATATTTTGAACATATGAGCTGGTTAAAGACAGCCCACTTTGGAAGTAGGTTCATCTGAACTTGCCAATATTTGGTCATGAGTACAGTTCAAAAGGACACACTTCTAAGTTGCCATTGCCATCCTAATACATCCTTATTATTCACAATGAGGGAAATTCATGTGAATGCAATCATGTAAACCTATACCAAGCGGTCTCCTGATGCGATGCATGCTCAATAATCCAGGTAGAAAAATCTAAAAAAGTTAGGTCAGGTCCTCTGTACTGAAGAGGTCTTTCAGATGAAAGATGAAACGTTTCTACATTTCCTGATGCATGCTCAATAATCAATAAAAGAGGTTTCTACATTTGTTTGTTTTTGTCTTTTGAACGTCCACAGGACCTGACTTAACTTTTTTAGATATACCAAGCGGTATACTGATGTCCACTTTCACTGAGGGATTTGAATAGTGAATGTTCGTAGTTTTGGAGAAGAGTGTTTTTCTATACTGGAATTGAACAGGGAATGCAAATAAATAACGTTTTGATGCAAGATATTCAAGTGGGTAAGAGTTACACTGTGGAAAAGAACAGAGGGAGGTTTTTTTTTTTTTTTTTTTTTGCTTGTCTAAGTCAGTGCAGAGTGATAGATCCTGGAGAATGTAGGGAGCCATTTAATCCAACACCAACAATCAGACCCGCTTCTCCAGTACCTTTGAATAGACCTTACTGTGGAGAATAAGGAGTGATGCACCTGTAATTGGAGCACACACTCCAGTCCCCCTTTTTGAAGAGATGAACTACCTCTTCAAAAACAGTGGCACTGCCTCTGATATCTACTCAATGTTGCAAAGGTGTGTCAACCAAGACAGCCCCACAACTTCCAAATCCTTAAGGAAATCAGGGCAGATCTCGTCTACCCCTGGAGCCCTGCCACAGTGGAGCTTTTAAACTACCTCAGTTAGGGACATACCAAGCCCAGAGTCCCCCATCTCAGCTTCCTTCATGGAAGACGTGCCAGTGGGGTAAGATATGCATTTCTTCTACCTCCTGATGACATAACCGGTTGAGGATAATAGCACTCTACCATCACTGAATACAGTGTTATAAAAGTGCTGCTTTCCCCTCAGTCAACTGATGATTAGCCAAAATCTCCTCAGAGCTGATAAAAATCTCTATTTAAGGACTCACAAAACTCCTCCCACATCTGAGCTTTTGCCTCAGCAACAGCCAAGGCTGTGACCTGCTGGGCCCTCCAGTACTCCTCAGTTGCCTCCAGGGTCCCATCAGCAAACAAGGCCCGATAGAACTCCTTCTTCATCTTGACATTCCCTAACCTGGGGTGTCCTTTACCAAATTCAAGGATGACCATCACGAGAATTACCAACAACCTTGCAGCCACAGCTCAAGGATGCCACCTCAACAATTGAAGGATGGAAAATGGCCCATTTGGACTCAATGTCCCCAACATCAGGTGGGATTTGGTTAAAGCTCTCCCGGAGGTGTGAGTTAAAGATCTTTCTGGCTTGTTCTACCAGGCATTCCCAGCAAACCCTCACTACATGTTTGGATCTACCAGGTCTGTATGGCATCTTCCCCTGCCATCTGATCCAACTCACCACCATATGGTGATCAGTTGACGGTTCAGCTCTACTCTTCACCCAAGTGTCCAAAACAAACAGCCATAAAGCAGATGACGTGACTACAAAGTCAATTATCGATCTTCAACCTAGGGTGTCCTGGTGCCAAATGCATTTATGGACACACTTATATTCAAACATGGTATTCATGATAGACAAACCATGATTAGCACAGAAATCCAACAACAGAATACGGCTCTGGTTCAGATAAGAGAGGCTGTTCCATACAATCAATCGTGCCTCTCCAGGACACACTGTCATTACCCACATGGACATTGAATTCCCCAGAAGAATAAAGGAGTCCCCAGCTGGCACACTTTTCAGCAACCTTGCTAATGACTCTAAGACGGATGGATTATTTTAACTGTCCTTTGGCGCATAGGCACAAACAAATGTCAGAGCCTGTCCCCCAACCCAAAGGTGCAGGGAAGCTACCCTCTCATCTACCAGAGAAAACTCCAACAGGCAGGCATCAAGTTGGAGGACTAAGGGTAGACCCACACCAGCTCGGTGCCTCTCACCATGGGCAACTCCAGAGTGGAATAAGGTCCAGCCCCTCTCAAGGAGATTGGTTCCAGAGCCCATGCTGTGCGTCAAGGTGATCCTAACTGTATCTAGTTAGCAATCCAAACCAACAGATGAAGGTGACAGTTAAACAAGACTCAATAAAACATGAATAAAACATTCTCATAAAAGTTGAATCAACATTAAAACCACAGAGCTTGCAATAAAAACACATTCTGGTGGGCCTTCTTATAAAGTGAGTTCACATGTGCATCAAAGGTCAGTTTGTCATCAAGAACTGTTCCCAAATATTTATATTGTTGCACCACCTCAACAGCTTCATCGTTAATGACCACAGGAGCTGCAACTGAAGTGTCTTTTCTAAAATCAATGACCATCTCCTTTGTCTTATAAACATTTAACATTAAAAAGGAAGACTCACACCTTTCAGTGACATCCCTGACCACTAACCCAGGGTCTGGGTCATCACTGCTGAGAAGAGACAGAATGTCAGTCATCTTCAAACTTTAAAATGTGATGCTGAGGGAACTGGCTGTGACAATCGTTGTCTAAAAATGAATAAAAGGGGCGAAAGAATACAGCCCTGAGGGGAACCAGTAGAGGACAGAAGGACATCAGAGAGAACCCCGTTGACTGTCACACTCACCCGCTGAGACCTTACAATTAAAATGTCCAAAAGTCAACATATGAGGCCAGAGTTGAGACTGTACAGACATTGTAAATTATCTGCTAAAATACAAGGCTGAATACAGTTAAAAGAAGATGAAAAAGCACTAAAAATCAATCTTACAAAGGTTTTGTACCTTCGTGGTGTCCTAAAAATCATACTTAAAAGAATTCCTTTTGCATCCTCCACTCCTCTACACGAACAACAAGCAAATTGAAGTGGGTCCAACTGAGCTTCAATTTTTGACAAGAGGGTCTTCCGGACCAGTTTTTCGAATGAATTGTGAAGTCGAATGACTAATGAAGTCAGGACAACAGGCCTGAAGTCGCTCAGTGACCGAGCAGTCTTGGTTTTTAGGATTGGAACAATAACAGAGTTTTTCCAGAGCTGTGGGACCCTAAAGGTTTGTGCCTGAATTGTCTCAGGGCACTTTACAGAAACATTTACGTACATAGAAAAGCCAATTAGGAAAGTTCTCTATTTAAGGAAGCTAGCAGACACGTTGAATCTTCACTTAGTCACAGTCTCCCATCCTGAGCAAGCACAATGACAACAGTGGAAAGGAAAAACTCCCTTTTTAAAGGAAGAAACCTCCAGAAGAACCAGGCTCAGGACAAGCGGCCATCTGCTTTGACCGACTGGTTTGAGAGGACAGGAAGGAGAGACAAACGAACACAGAATGGCAGGTCCAGATGTGGTGTACCTGAAAGACAAAAACACATGTCAAGGATAAAAACATAATTACAGATACAAAAACAGGTTGAGCAGAGTAAGTAAAGATAGTAGTATAGTGAAGAAATGTGGTCAGTTTGTCCTCCAGCAGTCTAAGCCTATAGCAGCATAACTAAGGGATATCTCAAGAAACCAAGCCAACCCTAACTATAGGATTTACTTTTTGGTCTCGAGGTCAGAGTTATTAAGAGAGTGACCATCTAAAATGAGAACTTTATTCATTCAACCTTTTTTTAGACAGGTAAATCCCATTGAGCCTCGAGGACTCATTTACAAAAGAGACCTGATTTCAACAAAGAATGATGACAACAATGGACAACAATAAACAGTTATAAAAAGTCATACTACATTTTTTATAACAAATAGGATGGCTAAAAGAAAAAAGGTAACCAAAAAAAAAAAAAAACCAGCTGGATTCTAAGGCGAATGTAGAAAACTAAAAACAGGAACATGTCTGCATTGGTCCCTGCCAGGAGTCCAACAGATTCTTAAAGCCACTTAGAGAGGTCAAGGTTGAGAGCTTCAATTGTTTTTGTAAGGTATTCCAAGAAACAGGAGCGGAGTAGGAGAAGGCCCTTTTGCTTAGTTCAGTCCTCATTGAGGGAACACTGCAGTTAATAATGTCCTGAGAGCGCACGCCGTAGCTGCACTCACGCAGAGACATGTAGGAGGAGATGTATGAAGGCAGCAGACCAAGAAGTGATTTAAAGATGAAAATGTACCAGTGGGAGAGTCTGTGTGAAGTTAATGATGTCCAGTTAACCAGTGAATACAGGGTGCAGTGGTGGGTACGATAATCATAGCCAGTTATGAATCTTAGTGCACCATGATAGACAGCATCCAACATCTGCAGGGTTCTTGTAGGAGCATTCATGTAAAAAATGTCACTGAATCAATTGAGGGAAGGAAAGTCACAGATACAAGGCGTTTCCTAGCATTCAGAGTTAGACAGGATCTGTTTCTGAAAAAGAAACCCCGTTTAACTTTCAGTTTCTTTACCAAATTTTCCACATGGAGCCTAAAAGAGAGATGTGAGTCAAC